TACTGGTTTAGTGAAATAGCCCTCAGGTTCTAATTCTGATCCATCAGACCAGGTGTATACTGTGAATCTTGAGCCCCTTTTCCAATGGGTGTGTTTTGGGCGGTTAGTGGAGGTGGTTTTTAGGTTTTTTGGAAAAAAAAGTTAATGGGCAAAATGGGAGATGGAAACTACGGAGCCCGCGAGGGGACATGGGAGATTTTTTTTCTTTTGCATTCCCACGCAATAGTATTGCGTTACCTCACAAAACTTTAGCGTTACCTCGCAATACCTTTTGCGTTACCTCGCAAAAGTAGTTTCACAGTTGTGCCTGCTGGTTTATTAACAAACTCACATGTTCACCATTAGCGAGTTAGCCTACTGCTTTAATTCAGCTTCAGAATATATCACACAACCACGCCTGGAAGTGTGTCATATGCCGATATTTGAACACAGTGCAGCCACGCAACATCAATGTCAATTTCATGAACTTGTGGCAACACATCCTGTTTTGTGTAAGGAAAGGTGCTTAAGGTGAATTAAGCTTCTCCCACATCTCTCAAACACAAGGTTATGAGGAAACTTTTACCAAGGTATTTCTCATGACTTGTTAATATCTTGACTGTGCGAAGTGAAAAGTGACACAATAAGTGAACGTTCAGACGAGTTCAAGTTGATTCATAAAAGACTATGCAATCATTTAGTTACACAAACTGAACAGATCATAAGTTACACTTGATTGTGGTTATTCCTATAACAAGCGTCAGAGTTAAATGGGATAAAACTCGTGTCCAACTTTCAGTCCACATTACACAGATTACTTATAAAGAACAGTAAAAACGTCAGTTCTGATGTTAACAACTAAACAATTTTACTGGCACTTTAGCTTAAGTTTTGGCAAATTAAGAACAAGGAGGAAAGTAAGATTAGTATGTTACTACTACTTTTACTTTTATCAAAGTGTGGGTCAACCGGAACTRYRCGTCTTTTCTAAGCTCAGGTTCCACATGACACGTCACTCCGAACACATCAGCTTTTACCCGATGATGACTTCTTAAGGCACACTCGGGGTAGGAGCTGGCTCGCCTCCGATAAGTCAGGGAACTGACGTCGGCTCACTTACCGGTCATTGGCGAACAGGTGTTTTTCCAGGTGACTTTGTGTTTGCTTCAGGCCAAGCCAGAAAAATTCAAGCCGTATCCGGTTCCTCTTTCAAAATAAAATCTCCCCTCGGGAGTGAAAACACACTTAGAGGCTTGGAGCCTCGATTTGGAACCACCGACAGGCGTGCCGGGTCCCTGGCTGTGAAGTCCTCCCTAATTAGCTCATGGGATCAGACTTTAAGCCAAAACTGAGGTTTCTCCGGAGAGAATCCCAGCTGTCTTCCTAGGTTGGAATCAGGAAGTAGAGTGTTGCTCAAAGCCGTCCGGGTTAGTAAAAGAAACGGACGAACTTTGGTTCCGCCCTCAAGCATAGAGATGAGTCAAGAGAAAGAAAGATAAAAATTAGCCCGCCGGCGCCAGCCCAAGGGTAAAATTCTGTGGTTGTTCAACATGATATGATAACCTCTTTTCAGCTTTCTTCTGATAGACTCTAAGAGAAATCACTGCAAAACATTTATGATGATTAATTAACATTTCTGTTTTGTAATCAGCTCTGAACCTTCTGTTAGTCCAGATAAATGAAAGATTTTCTCAAGAAAAATCCACAATTATATTACTGTGTTCACAGTAAAAAAAAAACAAAAAACAGTGATTTACATAAAACACAATGAAAACATTGTAATCAGATTCTATGTGATTTTTTATACCATTATTAATCTCTACGGTACGATAAAAGAAAAGAAGTGGTTCCACTTTTCCTGTGACAGTCATTATCATGATTTAACAAATGCAAAAACATTCTTAGTTAAACACACATAAATCACGAACAGAAGAGATTGTTCTGTCCATTATCTGATTAAGAAAACTGAGAAATTCTCTTCCACGGTTAGAATGACCTGTCATGGCCTAAATAGAGTTCAGTTTGTGACAGAGTTCCTGTCTTCTTGTCAGGCCTGTCCGAGGCCTGCTTAGAGACAGAAAATCTTGTTTCTTCACTCGAGGTGACCCCTACATTTGGTAACCAGACATTTCAAAATAAAAATCTGATTTAATTCAGTTCATATACAAAACAATCTTTTGCGTGGGAACGCAAAACAATATTGCAAGGTAACGCAAGTGTATTGCAAGGTAACGCAAAAGGGAAAAAAATCCCCCCGTGCCCCCTCGCGGGCTCCGTAGTAAACACATTTGATGAATAACTTTTGAAATTTTAAAAATGTGCAAAAATTTAGCCAATCAGTGACGAACAGTTTTCTGACGTCACATTTTGGTGTCAGCTGGGGCCGGTTGGAACCACAATGAAGTAGGTACTAAAAAAAGGGCCAGTTCCATGAATCTGGCCTAATGGAAATGGCTTGGTACCGTACCGACACTACACTATGTGGCACTAGTGGAAAAGGGGCTTTACAGATTTAATTATGTGTGTTTTGAAGGTGATTGTTGGGACTTTAGAGCAAAGAGCATTTAAAACAAGTGCATGTACCATTTTAGGTTTTGTTTTTTGGGTTCACTATCTCCCCCCCCACCAGGTTTTAAATTGATGGCAGCATTTTATTTTATTTCATTCTGTTTCCATTTTACATTTTACACAAAGTCCGAATTTTTGGGGGTTGGATTTGAATTTAGTTATGAAGGCTGACTGAATAATCTCCAGTGATAAATGCAAGCATTAAATAATTTTGTACAAAGCTCTGTTTACAAACATGCCAGCTTTACTTGTGCAGTTTATTAAAAATTATTTACACGAGTGATGCACATACAAACTCCTCCCATACGCAGTGGTTCATGTTTGCAGACTTCCTGGTGTGAAACGCAGGAAAGCAGCAGCAGCAGTGAACCCTCTGCACATGACATTTCATGACATCAGCGACAAAGACAACAACCTGCTCAAACTGAAAATAAAAAGGCAAACTAAAAGAGGGCTAGCTCCTGATTTAACTTCCAACACATCCTGTAATGTGATCTAACAGTGAGGCACCCAAAACGGCTAGAAAGAAAAAGCTCAGATTCTCTTCACTTTGGCAGTTCCATAAAGCAAAAACAGTGTCAGACACTAATAACAATAACTTATCAACAACATGGGTCGAGTTAGGCTTTCTGTGAAACGATGAGTCCAGACACACAAAGCATGGTGGCTTTCAAAGAAAAGATAGATTACAGGCTTCAGATCAAACTGAAAGAAAAAACAATCCAATTTCTCACACAACGTGTGTGACAGGTGGTTAAAATAATGTTTGTTCACATGTTCTTCAGTGACAGGAAACTCACACTTCATCTGGTGCAACATAAAATGTAACTTTGGGAAATAAAATTATTCAATCATTAAAATTAGGAAAGAAGACACGTCTCAGAGTGTCTTTAAGGTTTTTTAACAGACAAACAGCAGACAGATACTGAAGAGCTGCTTTAACTGCAGGAGAGTCAGTTTGAACAGGAAGGAAGTATTCTGAAATCAGTAACAAAACAATCTTTACAAAAAGACCATATTCAAGGTAATAACATCAGATCCTGATCTGATTAGAAACATTAGGATTGACAGTTCTTAGAGGGATCCCTGATTAGTTCCAACATTAGACTATTTGATAAACATTTATTTTAACTGTAAAATAAAGACTGTAAAAATACTGTAGGATGTTTAGTTTTGTACATTTTTAAAAATACATGTGACCCATCATATCAAAATAAGGATTAAGTCAAATTAGGTCAAAATGACCTAATTACATTTTCASATTCTTGTCTTTAAAAGCTACATTTTGATACCTGGATCATTCTGATATCATCATTAAGTCCATATATATGACTTAATTTGTCTTGTTGGTTACAATAATACATAAATATTTGGTCTGAATCCTAATTTGATGTCATTTTAATGAGGAATTTTTGATGTCCTTATAAAGAGAAAACCTCAAATTATATTTGAATATTGAGATTTCACAGCTAAAAAGAAACAAAACTTTGCTAACTCTCAGGGAAAATCACAACATTTTAAGGCGTTTTTCCTCAAAATCAGGTTTTTTGTTGCTACTTCTCAAAAAGTGCTTCAAAATTTTGTTTTATGATTATATTTCAGACAGTTCATTCAAATAATACATTAATA